CTGCCCTGTTAGAGTACTGAAATAATTGCTCATGCCCATTACTTTGATACTAATGGAGTCGAGCCGGACAGGAACAAAGAGGCAAATAACTACCTCGTGAGCCGCAACGAGAACAAACAAGAGTATGTTCCAAATTGAGGTCTGCTAATATAATGTTAATTAAATTGGCTTTTTACAAATTATCTCCTTGATTACAATGACTTAAGGTTTAATTAGAGCCGTAGCAAACACCCACACAGGCAGGAGCGCACACGCACACACAAAAGAAAGCCGTAACCTTCAGTGGGTCCAGATTTCACCAGCCCAAAAATCTCAATTAGACGCCTGGTCAGCCGTCACTTGTAATTAAAATATTATCATGCGTAGAGGTAATTAGAGTGTGTGGAGGTGAGACGGTATTCAGCAGCTCACTGACTGGAGAAAAGAAGGTCTGAGGTTGACGGTGACGGGCTAATATAATATAGTACACCCTAATATGACATAGTTCATATAAATATAGTTTAAAAAGGGTCTTCCTGGAGGAATGTTCCTTCTGACGTGCATACAGTTAAAGTCAGAATTATTAGCCACCTTGGATTTTTTTTTTTTTTATATTTCCCAAATGATGTTTAACAGACAAAGGAAATTTTGACAGTGTGTCTGATAATATTTTTATCTTCCGGAGAAAGTCTTATTTGTTTTATTTCAGCTAGAATAAAAGCAGTTCATCATTTTTTAAAAGCCATTTTTCGGTCAAAATTATAAGCCCCTTTAAGCCATATTTTTTTCTATAGTCTACAGAACAAACCATTGTTATACTATAACTTGCCTAATTACCATATCCTGCCTAGTTAACTTAATTAACCAGAAATGGAAAAGTACACACATCCTTTTCTCAAGTAGAAGTACAGATTCTCATGTTTAAAATGACTCTGGTAAAAGTACCGAAAAGTACTTTTGTACTCAAGTAAAAGTAAAGAATACCCATTATTACTAGATTTTATTTTGGCTAGGTAGGAAAATATCCCCTTCCCCCATGTATTATTATCCTGAGGCAAACTCACAACATTCATCATGTAGTTTTGCGGCTGTTGGATCAAAAACAACAGCTGCCATACATGTTCATACATGAAATAATAATTAAAAAGTTCAAAAATAATTCTGTAGAGCTGTATATCCTTATAAATAATGTCTTACGTTTTACACTGAATTCTGTCCAAAACATCTAGAAAAAAAAAAAACATTTAATAAATATTTTTACTGAATATTTTGAAAATATAGTTTATTTTGCTCAAATAAATACTTATCATATTTGACTGCAAATCATCTTTGCATTTCTTATAGTAATCTACCCTACGTACAGTGCATGATAGCCTTGGTTGAGAACGAAAGTAACGAGCTCGATTTAAAAATGTAAGTAGAAGAAATTACAGATAGTTGTGTAAAAATGTAAGGAGTAAAAGTAAAAAGTTGTCAGAAAAATAAGTAGCGGAGTAGAGTACTGATACCAGAAAAATCTACTTAAGTGCATTATCGTAGTATTTGAAACTATGTTACTTCCCATCTCTGTAATTAACCTAGTTAAGCCTTTAAATGTCACTTTAAGCTGTATAGAAGTGTCTTGAATAATATGAAGTAAAATAATATTTACTGTCATCATGGCATAAAATAAATCAGTTATTAGAAATGAGTTATTAAAACTATTATGTTCAGAAATGTGTTGAAAAAGTCTTCTCTCTGAAATTGGAAAAAAAAATAGACGGGGGGAGGGAGTAATAATTCAGAAGGGCTAATAATTCTAACTTCATCTGTATATCTTGCTTGCTGTAGCAGCTGTTGATATACGCAGATGAAGGAAATGTATGTGTTGGAGATCATAGATTTTTATGCAGAGTTATTCCGGCTATGATTATGAGAGCTTGTATCTGTCTCCCGGCAGCTAGTCTGGATGTCCCTGGCTGGCGGCATAATCATTGGTCTTGTTGCACTGTCTGCATTAACCTTCTTATCGTCTGGGTGACTGCTGTTGTCAGAGGGGCTGATGGCTAGACATACCCCTGGAAGGAAGCCATTGACTTCTTTTTCTATCTGGCTTTGGAATCAGCTGAAGTTGAAGCTGAAGGCAGTTTTCTCCTCATGAAACACACTTGCATGTACTGTACTGAGTAGCAAGTTAGTTTTAACATTTTAATTCAATTGTAAAAAAAGATGGGTGGCACGGTGGCTCAATGGTTAGCACTGTCGCCTCACAGCAAAAGGTCACTGGTTCGAGTCCTGGCTGGGCCAGTTGGCATTTCTATGTGGAGTTTGCATGTTCTCCCTGTTCGTGTGGGTTTTCTCTGCGTGCTCTGGTTTCACCAGTTCGCTATAGGGGAATTGAATAAACTAAATTGGCCTTAGCGTATGTGTGTGAATGTGAGAGTGTATGGATGTTTCCCGGTACTGGGTTGCAGCTGAAAGGGCATCGGCTGTGTAAAACATGTAGATTGAATTAAATTCATGTTTATTTATATAGCGCTTTTTACAATGTGTCAAAGCAGCTTAACATAGTTCTAGTGAAGTCCAATGGATGGATATGGATATGGATAAGTTGGCGGTTCATTCCGCTGTAAGGATTACTAATGGAAAGAGACTAAGCAGAAGGAAAAATTAAGGAGTTAATGTAAAAAAAGACAATTTTCAAGAGCTTTTCCACCCAAAAATGAACTCTTATTTACTCTCCTTTTACTTGTTCCAAACCTGTTTGAGTTTCTTCTGTCGAACACAAAATAAGATATTTAGAAAGCTCTTTCACCATTGACTTCCATAGTATTTGGTTTTCCTACTATGCATGTCAATGGTTTTACAGGGTTTAGCTTTCTTCAAAATGACTTATTGTGTGTTTAACAGATTAAAGAAACTCAAACTACTTGAGGACGACTAAATAGTGAGTACATGAAACATTTCTGGGTGAACCGTCTCTTTAAATGAGCAAGGAAGAATGCAACATAATAATTAGGGATCCTCGACCAGGATTTTTCAGCCGACACTGAGTATTGATTTCTTGTCATAGTGATTGGCTGATACAGAGTACTGATTCTGATGCTTCCATCGTTATATAGCTTTGCCATTGCTTTAGGTATGAGATTTCACCTAAATGAAGTATGTTGCATACATGTAACGGTCAGAAGCAGCTTTACAAAAAAATAATAGATAAAACAGAGATGGTAATAAAGGATAAGAAGAATTACTAACAAAGCACTTTGGAAACATTGCTCATGTGCTGTAGCGCTGCTGATGTATAACCCAGGCATGCACATGCATCTTCCTCTGCTTGTAAACTTGTAAACAAACACTTGCAATCGGTTCAAGAGATCAGCCAGATCAGCGAGTACCAATCGAGTCGTGATATGTGATTATCAGCCAATACCGATCTCCGGCCGATTGGAGCATCCTTAATAATAATTTGAATTTGAAACATGCCATATGAAGACTTTTTGACACCTATATTAATATGCATTTTGGTAGATCAGACATAATTGGACTGATGGAACTGGTTCAGTGATAGCGCTGGGGGATTTGGCCTAAAATCAAAATCTTAATCAATTGAATATTTTAACTCGATTACAATTAATGAACGATTATTTTATTTATTTATTTTGCCCTCACAGTTCACTGATAAGTTTTGAACAGTAAATATGCATACATATTACCAGAGGTTTCTGAATGAAGGGTGCATTACTTGATTTTAAAAGAATTGAACGAAACACACACTATCTACTATCTATTAATATTTATTGAACATCAACGTTAAACAACTGAAATTAAAACACACATTGCCTAAAACAAAAAGTTACTTTTTATTTATAAAAAAGTGAAAGTAAATATTGAATCTTCAGTAAACAAATATATTAATGTAAATAATAATTTTATTATAATAGAAAACATGCCGTCTCAAGACACAGTTTCCAATCGTTATCAATGTAGTGCGAACAAGTGACGTGTAGTTACATTTTTTGAGAGGTGCTCAGATATGCGACCATGCAAAGGCTGCTCCGGATCATATTCATGCGGTTGACACAGAAGTATAAATCAGCCTTAACAGAGCAAGGTCACGTGACTCCACACGAGGTAGGAGTCAAAAAATTGACCTGGAAAAATGTAATCGATTATAAGTTCTGAATGTCAATTTTGATTACTTTTCGATTAATCGCCCAGCATTATTCATCGAAGAAAACCACTTGCAACTTACCAACATTTCAAATAAAGCCTGTTTTCATTATGGCTGCTTTTTACAAGAAAGACCAAATTGTGAAAGTAGTCAAGCAAAAATGCACTTAAGTTCATGATTTGAATTATTCATAGCATTGCTTAATTTCACAGCACAAATAGTAGCACCACAAATATAGCGCAAAATATATATTACCCAGTGTACTTCTAGTCATTTATTCCAAAAGCACTGCCTTCAAGAAGACTCTGAAGTCTCTTTCTCTATGTGGGTCAAAGAGTCATCATATGCAGATCACTGAGGCCTTTTCATCTGCAATCGCAAAGTTCAAAAATCCCCTGGCATGCTCTTAATTTCCTCCCTCCGTTTATTTATTTCTTTGATATTTTTTTTCACATTAGCATCCTCAAAAGTGTTTTGAGGAAAAGCAGCACTCGGAAGAGAAGAAACTTTCTTCTTAAAGCCCCAACCCCCTCCTCTATTCCCCTGTCTGGCTTAATGACATTTTGAAGAGCGTGGTCTGACTAAGGATGGTTTTGTGGGTTGGGGTGTTGGGGGGGAGGCTGGAGGAGTGACGACAGGAGCAGACTCACTGCAGCAGAACAGGCCACATGTGCTTAGAAAGAGAATGGGGGAGTTTGCCTTTGAAAAGCCCAGGCAGCTAACTAGAGTCTTTGTGTAAAATAACATTTCTATTGAAAGGCAATTACTAGTGACATTATTTTGGTTGCTGCATAATTAAATTCATTTTTGTTCTCTCTCTCTTTCTTTCTCTCTCTCTCTCTCTCTCTTTAATTCTGTCTCTTTCCCCTAGACGGAGAATTATTCCATTGACTCCAGTTATGTAAACAGCAGAGCACACCTAATTAAAAGGTACGTCTTAATAGACCAATCAGATTAACTTATCTTATTCAACTTGATGCATTCTTAAAGCAGTCTTCATTTCTTGTTTTGTTTATTTTAAGTGGTGTATTATTCTGTATTTGCATGTAATATAAGTAATATACACTACCTGATAAAAGTCTTGTCTCCTATCCAAGTTTTAGGAACAACAAATAATAACTTGACTTCTAGTTGATCATTTGGTATTAGAAGTGGCTTATATGAAAGACAAAGGCCTCTAGATTACGTTTATTTTACCAAAATAAAATATGATCATGCCTTGATTTTTAATGATTTAATTAGGACAGTAAGGTCTTGTCACTGAACAGAAATAATATCCAGTATAGAATATAAAGCCATGGTGCAGTGAAAAGAGATTTAATATTGTGTATGACTCCCATGAGCATCAATATATCTCCGAAATGACTTAACTTTGTCATCTGGAATGGCAAAGAAAGGGTTCCTGCAGAACTTCCAGAGATTATCAAGATTCTTTGGATTCATCTTCAATGCCACCTCCTTCATTTTACCTCAGACATGCTCAATAATGTTGGGGACTGAACTTGCCAATCCTGGAGCACCATGACCTTCTTTGCTTTCAGGAACTTTGATGTGGAGGCTGAAGTATGAAAAGGAGCGCTATCCTGCTGAAGAGTTTTCCCTCTCCTGTGGTTTGTAATGTAATGGGCAGCACAAATGCCTTGATACCTCTGGCCGTTGATGTTGCTGTCAACTCTCACAATCCCCCATAGTGCATGTAACACCAAACCATGATTTTTCCTTCACCAAACTTGACTGATTTCTATAAGAATCTTGGGTCCATGCGGGTTGCAATAGGTCGCCTGCAGTATTTGTGACGATTGGGGTGCAGTTCTAAAGATGATTCATCTGAAAAATTTACTTCCTAAGCCACTTTTCCAAATGATCACCTAGAAGTCAAGTTATTATATGTTGCTCTTACAACTGGAATCGACGACAAGACTTTTGTCAGGTAGTGTAGTATATTCTGCTTTCTCCTACCTTAACTGTTGTTTATATCTGTCTGTTGGTTTTACAAACATTAAATCAAGCAAAAGCGTTCAAAAAAAAAAAAAAAAAAAGATTGTGACTAAACCTCAATTTTCAAACTGTCTATAAAAAGTAATAGCTTCACCCACCTCTATTTTGAAGCATCTTAGTCTAGCATTTGACATCTAGTGATTACCTTTTCTGTTTTAAACAGGATTTGCAAAGCAGTTCAACTTTTATATCATGAGATTTTGGCCAAATGTGAAAATGTATTGCTCGTATAGCTACAATAAACATTACTGAACTCGTATTGATTATTTATATAATCACACATACACAAAAAGACACTACCAAAAAATTGTCAATGCTGTGATTGATTTACATATTTTTTTCCCCTCATTTCATCAAAAGTAACAGCTTTGGACATATAAAGTTTCCATTCGACAGTGATGATATTAGTTTTAATGGATAGACATACGCTAGGGCAGTACAGTGCTAAGATCTCTATCTCACAAGAATAAAAATTCATGATAAGCCCCTTTTAAGATGGCTTTGGACTGAGCGGAGAGTCATTAAAAATAACCAAAAGCTAAAGTTGTTAGCTATTAAAACTGTCTTATGGTTGGCCACAAACCGTAGGCAAGATATTAATACTCAACATGTTTATAAATGGCCAGTGTTAAGCTTTAATAATTCAGTATGATAAGTGATTAAGCACATCCTCATCAAGTATTTCCTCTTTCTTCCCTAATATGAATAATTCCATCAAATCCCTGCAAACGTGTATACATATTACATGTTAGAGAATATTAAAGCTGTAGCCCAGAGCGGAGGCTTGCGCAGTTAAGCTACATCCGTGTAGATGTTAATCAGAGAGCTAAATCTACAAGAATTTTAATCCCGGAATTCCAGAGGATTCTTCCTCCGTGCACACAAGGAGGGCATTGTAAGGCCACGGAGATAAGGAAAAGGTAATGTTATTTTGTATTGTGGAAGAAAAGAGCAAGGACAATAGATCCTTTGTACTGGTAGGACTTGGCCAGCATTCCTCAGTCCACCTAAAAAGAGGCTATTGACTGACATAGAGCTCTGGCATGCAGACATCCCTAATGAAGGTCTCCGGGCGCCTTGAGGCCCGGCTGCTATGGATGTGCACCATCGTAAAGCCTCTCCTACCTGGAGCAAAAATACATTCCGTCTTACCTCAGTGCTGCGTTTTTCAAACCAATTACAGCAATTTTATCTTCTGAAAAAAAAGAAGCTCTGCCTATGTTTACATAAACAAAGAGTATTCAAGTGTCGGCTGTTTGGCTCTGCGACACTACAAAGAAATCCCCTCTGGAGCCAGTGGGCGCACAGACTGGGACAGGTGCAATTAGACTGATAAAATCAGAGGCTGCACTACCACCATTGCAGTGACATTGCTAGAATCCCCCTCTCTCTCTCTCTCTCTACCCCCTTCTTCAGCAAAGGCTACAGAGATGCTTTTGTCTATGTATGTCAGTGTGTGTATGTGTACGCATGCGTTTCTGATCCTCGCTGTTGCTTCAGAGGCTGAATGTGTTCCACTGGGCTAACTATCAAATTAAGGGAAATCAGGCTTGTGCACTGCAGATGTCAATTGGCAGCCTTTTCTCCTCTCTCACTCTTTCATTATATTGAATGTAGTTAAAGATTAGAACATTTTTACACCTATTTCTTAAACCTTCCAGGGGGTGAAGGCAACAAATGTAGTGTAAAGTCTCAGGAGTGACACCTGCATTCAAACATAAGAGTGAATCTCCTAAACTTTCTTTCTGTTTATGCGAGGAACACATTATGCTCAGGAATTTATGACTGTAGCAACATTTTGTCATATTGTAGCTTTGTGTTGACGTACAGTGACCAAAGACTTGTTATGGTCATTTATTTTTCCTAAAAACAAATAATAAAAATAAGTTTTTGGGATTTATCTAATTTAGGAATGGATTGATTGTCATTCAACAGAACAAAAACGACCACTGAAATGTGAACTGACAACTGAATTTAGTTTCAATGTGTATGTGACCAACATACATTTTCATGTCTCAAACTCAATTCCTGAAGGGCCGCAGCTCTGTAGAGGTTTGCTCCAACCCTATTCAAACACACCTGATCCAACTAATCAAGGTATTCAAGACTAAGCTTGATTTGTTGGATCAGGTGTGCTTGAATAGGGTTGGAGCAAAACTGTTCAGAGCTGCGACCCTCCAGGAACTGAGTTTGAGACCTATGATTTACATTTAAAATGTCATGCAGTAAACTATTTGCTTTCGTCTAGTGTTTTTACTCCAGTAATTTGAACCATAAACAATGATGACACTTACATGTTTATTTACCATTGTGTTGTTCTTGAAGGTGAATTTTAAGAACATCCAAAACATCATAATAGTTTATAATAATTTTCTTTACGTCCTATGCAGCGTAAGATTCATTTGAATAAGGAACAAAAAATATCATTTAAAAAGTTTCATTTCAGCTTAAAATCAAAGGTAGCACCACTGTTATTATTTACTTATATTTCAAGAGTTCACACTTGGAAATTGCTTAATAATAACAGGTTTGGCATGCTGTCCCGGGAAAGAAACCTGAGCTTGGAGATACTTGAACATGGTCAATGAACATATAAGGGGGTTACGAGATCAGGTAGTTCTCGAGAGCTTTCCCTGGTGAAGGAGGAAAAGGGGGAGATGGAGTGGTTGGGGGGATTCTTCAAAAAATGAAGATAAGAAAGTAATGCTAGATGGGCTATTTATAGCAAGTTTGGAATAATCAGATTGGCTCACTAATGATTACAGGTGAGAGACCAGCCGCGGTGAATCATATCACATGCTTCTCTCTAAATTAGTTCCTGAAACTTCACATAATGAAGAGATTGGGCCCTATCATACACCAGGCAACTTTATTTTTTCTGTTTAAATAGCAAATCCATTTGCAACATTGCGAGTTATGGGTGTTCCAGTCTAGAAAAGAGATGTGTTAAGGCGCATTGTTATAATTATTTTTGAGAAACTGATGTTCTGTTTAACAGTTTTCTCTCTAGTAAAGCTTTCAGCTTTTCCACTTACAAAGTCTGACATTTAAATAGCAAATGCGCCATGGCATGACGCAACTCTTAAAGGGAATGTGAGTTGAGACTGACTGGTTTATTCTCAAAACACTACATTACTCATCCAGAGAATAAGCACAACCCTGTTAGACAATGCGCCGCAACGAAGAGCAAATTTTTCCTTCCTTAAATTAGCAGAAGTGAATTCAGACATGCCTTTGATGCTTTAGCGCCCTGTGCTTTAGACTTTGTGCCTAGATCGTTAATATAGAGCCCATAGACTTTTTTTTCATATCGCGTTTTACATTTATTGTCATATTTGGATCTTGATAACTGTAGTACTCCTTCACATTCATTGTTAAAGATTCAATGAAACAATATTTCTTAACATTCACCTTTTTTTTTACGCAGAAGAGAGAAAAAAGTTGCTTTTTAATCTGAGCATAGCATAATTGTAATGTTCAGACCGACAACAGAGTTTCATTTTTAGATCCACTCTTCATTACATGTCTGCACTCAATAGATACAAAGGACACATTTCTGAAATAGCCTATAGAAAATGTAGGAACACAGAAAGCGTACGATAAAAGCTCTGCCCAGCGAAAGTCAGTACAGGCCATTGACTCCTGATCCTTAACCCCGACCATATCAGAATGTGAGAAAAGCCGCTTCTTTTCAGCTTCACCACCTGGGTGGCTAGACAATAAGCAGAGGTAGCATGAGGTGAAGAGACGGAAAGTGATGAAACCAAAGTTGACAGTTAAATAACCTTTTCTTTCTCTCTCCTCCTTTCTCCTTCACCTGGCTGTAGCACGTCAACATTCAAGGACATGGAAGGAAACAGTTTGAAGGACAGCGGGCACGAAGAGAGCGACCAAACAGACAGTGAACATGACGTCCAGAGAGGGCACTATGCTGATACAGCTGTCAACGACGTCCTGAATATGACCGTACCCTCAAACAACTCACAGATACCTGACCAAGGTAAGACACAAAGGTCTTGACTAGCTGAGAGCATCCATAAAAAAAAAAGTTAAGAGTGGCTTTCTAGAAAGATTCAGCCTTGAGGCGCCTTGCTAATGCACAGGCAGCACTTCTCTTCCTGCCGTGTCTTTGATACCAGCCCATGAACATTATTGACGGATGTGAGCCACGTCGACTGCAACACTTCAGATCCAGACCTAAATGGCAGCAATTAGGCCGACAAAGGTTGGAGGTGGAAATCTACATATCACGCAGTCTCCTCATACATAATTCATTTAGCAGGGAATTAACGTTGATGTTTCTTTTTTACCTTCGCTGCCGTTAAAGACATCCGGTATGTTGGCAGGAGTCAGTAGGAGGTCATGTTCACTCTCAGCTACTGCCACTCAATGCTACAAAGATATAGAGCGACGAGTGGCAGCGCCAGGGAGAATCAAAGCACGTAGAAGACCAAAAGAGGGCTCCGAAGGGTTTTATTGCGCCGATTGTTTTGTGTTGTCATGCTCAATCAGCCTTTGATCTGTGTAATTTAGAACAATGGAACACCTCCAGCGGCCGCTAATAGTCAATAGCGAGAACTCTATTCTTGCAGGATGGAAATTAGTCAACCAATTTTCTGAATTACAATGAGAGCTTGACATTTGCTGAATAGAAAGGGAGGAGAATAAAAAGCATTTCTGAGGCAGATGAGGTCATTAAAATCGGCAGGACGGACGCTCAGATTGGAGTTTAAAGAACGTGAGGCATTGTGGCTCGCCTGCGACATGCTAAATCAAGCCTGGCTGCTTCTGACTCACAGCACACTGCTGCTTACAAATCTCAGCGTTTTGCTCGGGGAAGGAGAGCCTAATAAGAGAGCTAAGGAAGAGAAAAGACCGAGTTAACGGCTATAAAATAATTTAGCTTGTTCTTCCTCATTGTGCTTTTTTTCTCCCTCTGTAAAGCAGGAGCCTGAATTATGTAGAATTGGCAGGTGAACCAATTAAGATCTCATTTGGTCCAGATCGTGTGTGTGCTATGGCTAATTCCAGCAGGCTAATTAACCGGTTTGTTCTCCAGATGAATCACAAGACGTATGGCTACCTGGCAACTGGAAAGGAGGGAACATACTCCCCCATTTACATTTGATATGTGAGCACGGCGCAGATTTGTTTGAGGGTTGCTAGGCTCGTCTTGGTGTATGGTAGGCTCTGAGAGGAATTACGATTATGATGGAGATCTTTCTGCATTTCTTCCACTGCCAACTTCTTGTCAACGTGTAATGAACAATGATCAGTGACTACAGTTTAAGCTGTTGTAGACGTCTCTCCGTAAGAGAAATGCATATAAAGAAAGTTATAAAAGGCACTCTGACATTCCCTCCAGCTCGCCACTTACATAATTGGACACAATTAGAAAAATGTAGACAGAGAACGTTACAAGTAGATGAAGCTTTTCCAGGTCAGCCATTTTATCATTAGCAAAGCTCTTATCTGCTTATGAGCAAGCAAACATATAAAGGACAGCAGATAAGCAAAATGAGCAGGCACTTCAGGGTTGCTGTCATCGGTTTTAACCAAAGCCATTAGACGGTGACAAGTATCAGATACTAATGTCATTTTCTGGCATGTCTTCTATCATATTATTCCACAGCAGCTACAAGCTCGTTTTGCTTAGTGAAAAGCAATGTAGTGGACAGGCGGCTCTCATTTGAGTGCTTTAAATTACATATCCAGAAAAATAGATCAATGTATGTTGCATCACAATGGCAAAAGTCAAAATCCCAGGCATTTCCTCAACAAGGGAGGAAGAACTCATTTTTTTAGCAACAATGTATAAACCATGGGTTTCAAATTCAATTCCTGGAGGGCCGCAGCTCTACACAGTTTTGCTTCAGCCATAATCAGACACATCTGATCAAATTAATCAAGGTATTTAAGACTACTCTCAAACCACCTTGATTATTTGGATCAGCTGTGTTAGAATAGGGTTGGAGCAAGACTGTGCAGAGCTGCGGCCCTCCAGGAATTGAGTTTGGGACCTATGGTATAAACCTTCAAAGACAGACTTACTGGTAGCAACAAGAATGAGACTTGCTGGAGCAAGTTATCAAGCTACATTACTTCAACATTCTTTTTTACTAATAAGGCTTCACTTGGATGGATTCACCTTGTTGCTCGCTTGTTTGGTTCCTTTAATAGAAGATGTAGAAACTAGAGCTGTGTGATTTGGGCAAAAGAAACCTATCACGATTTTCTTAAACAATATTGCAATTACGATTTTAATCACGATTTTGTCACAGACAGACTGAATCTGTGTTTACAGTGTGAATCTGAAACATATAAATGAGAAACAATTAGATCTTTATTAAAGACCTTTACCGTGTCCTAAATCAAACATAAAACAAATATCACCTAGTAAATCTGTAACAAATTGCCTCTAGAACAGACCTATGGCAAAACAAATGTGCATGTGTGTGTGAGCATGCACGCCGTCAAACTCAAGTAAAGCTTCTCTGTCCTGCTCGACAAAATATCAAAAGTAGTTGCGTGTATGTTCACAGATTTGTTTTGTCGTGCATAGATCATAGACCTCTTTGTGACACTGCCAGAAATAGGCAGTCCATATATTGTATCTTTTGCACACACAAGTCCATTATTTGCAATAGAGGTGCACAAATTGCATGCACATATTGAGAGTGACGCCCTTATGCCAGGCGCACCAAGCTGAAAACATCTCTTTTTAGACAAACTAAATTTTACTTTTTAGAATTTCTCACCTTGAGTCATGTAACAAGAACTGACCATCCAGCTTCATACTTTGTATGGAAGATACACATTTTGGTTACCTCAGACAAACACAAGACACCCGAACACCAAGTGCTTTTAATCCTCTCCATAAATAAAACTTGTTTCGGAACTGAATCAGAAAACAGTTGATGGTCACCGAGCAATGACAAATGAGCTATCGCAAAGCACGTTGACAATGCTGAAGGAAGTAACGGGCTTAAGCTTTCCACGCACTTTGAAAAGCAATATCCAGTATGACTAACTTACAAATGACCTGGTTTTGCCATACATCAGCATACTTGTATCCAAAGTTACTCAATCCCATACCACAAATGCTGACTTTTTTGTCCTCCGGAGCTAAACTCCCTGCATCGCCCCTGTATACACAGGCAATTCAGTCCCTTGTTCTTGCGCTCTGTTTAGACGCGCTGTGTTGATTGGTTCATTACAATACCATACTGTGGGAAAATTGTGCTGTAAGACGATTTAGAAAGCGCTCATATCCAAATCGTAGCATTAGAAACTACTACATCTGGAGTTAAGCTGGCCAAAATTAGGTGGTCACTGTTGCACAATGACATGCACGTATGTTAAGTTTAGGCTTACGGGTAAGTTTATGAACTTCTACATGATTGTTATCCAACTATTGTTCCCCTTTGAATTTGGGAATAATTTAGAGTTATGGTTGGGTTTAGGGGTAGGGAATAGGAATGCATTGCATTTTCAAACAAAAACGATGTTCCAGGGATCAACATAGATGTTAATCAAGGATTGCATCATTGGCAAAATCAGTATATGGCTAAAGTTTGTTTTACTGACTAAATTTGCTTTAAATCAACTCAAATCCTCAAATCAACTCAAATATCTAAAATCCAGGATGATTCTACTTCAAAAACTCTACCTTTTTTTGTTCCATAAATAGTGCTAGCGTAATAAATTTAGACAATCACGTATTCACTGAAAACCAACATGAGGTCGAATTCCCAGCTAGGAAACAGACACACCAAGACACTGAGGCACATAGCGGTTGTAGTGGGAATACCTCTGATCTCCTCTTTAACTGTTCTAGTACAGTGAAACAAGCTTAAACTGCAATTGCCAAAGGACATCAACAGAGAGACTGGATATAAAGACTCTGCTTTGTTTCCCCCTTTTTTCCTTTTGTTTTTAAGTTGTTGTTTTTTTTCTCCTCATTCTTCCTGAAAACAAACAGAGGCAGGAAGTTGAGGGATAGTAAGCTCCCTCCTGTCTCATTCCCCAGGCTCCCGAGCAGTGTAAATGTTTATGATTCACGCAGCTCTTTGAAAAGGCAACGCTTGCACCAGGGACACAGTTGTTACCTCCGATTTAAAATAGCTCCGCCCCAACTTCTCTTTCTATTGTGGGATGAAGTGTGAGAACGGCTAGAAAAAAGCACTCTTAGGAGTGGAGTCTCTTAATACACAATGCACAGCACTTCCTTAGGGGTGCTTCCTTCATACCCTTTTATTCTATTACCAGGATCTATGTCTACTTCCTGCAGTCTGTGTCGCTTTTCTTTCAAGAATACACCAATTTATGGAGGCTTCTGTTGGACAAAATATCCCACAGATCTGGAGATGGCATGTTCTTGAGAGGAAAGCATGGGAGACGGTGCAAATGCTACTCTAGCAGGGCTGTGGTGGTCAAGAGCCAAGAGTAATGATTGCATTAGGGTAGAATTGATGAATGGGTTATGGCTTGCATGTCGCCGACTGAACCCTTCCCTCTATGCTCAAAACCTCCCTGCATTGAATTATACATCAGTTTACTTGTAAAATACTCTTGAGGATGGTGGTATCTCAATATAAACATGAAAAATACCTTTCACATCCCCTTTACCGCATCTACGGGCGCAAACCAATCCACCAATCTCTAGGAACGACTGTTGATTGTGTTTGTTTGAGGCCAGAGGTCTGGTTGAAGGCTATTTGTAGAGTTCCCAGTCCCACCAGACAAAATGACAGTCACCATTAAGCTCTTCTTCTCCTCTCTCTTTTTTTTTCCAACCCCCGAGGAGATTGAGGAGCTTTGGCAGCTCAATTTGCAGCTGCTGAGTTCCAGCATGTTCCACTCAGAGTGTCCCCGACCCCGGGAGTCTTTTATTCATCAATTCCTCTGTCCCCATGGGCTTGTATCTCCTCCCATGCCCCGGGATTTCACACTCCCTCCACCACCCAGTGCCCCGTCAGTAGACTCCGGCTTCTAATTGAT